TCCCTGATCCGAATGCATCGAGGCAGCTTTCAAACAGCATGCCAAGATCTGGAAGCTCACTCTGACTTGGCTGCCATACCTCAAGATATTTTCTTGGGCAGCCATTTATCTTTTCCCAAGCCAGCTACATAAGCCAAATACTTAATGGTTCCCATCCCCAAATTCAGAACAGCCCTGGGAAGATTTAATGACTCCCCTACTGCTGTTCTCAAGGGGAAGTTATGGGATATCCCATTTGGACAAAGAGTTTACTCCTGTGGTGAAGGACTCTTCGAAACACCCACCCTTGTTTTGTTATCTAACTCCATTAGAAACATGCTTGGCTGCAGCCAGTAACTCTTCACCTAGCCAGTTTTCCAGGCCATCCATTTTATTTATGGTTGTTACTATCCAATCTATGTGATTTATTTCTCAGAATGTGGCTAAGTGTGTTGTTTTGCTGTTTGCCAAAACATTGTCCATGCCAGTTATAGATTTAATGGGTTTTTACTGTGGGTTTTACTTACTGTTTTGCCAGGTGCTTTGTTTTAGAGGTGGTCAAGGACTGTAATAAGTTTACGGGTTTTCCCCTAACTTTTTTCTGTGGCTCCTTTCCCTTCATTCTGCAATATCCTGGTTAACAGAAGGGGGAAGTTGATATAATAACAATTGTGCCAAAAGAATGAAGAGAATCTCACATCCTTCTTGGTCTCCTTGCAATCAAAGGAAAGAATCATGGTTTCCATCTGTGCACAATTACCAGCAATGAATATGGTCCCCCCCACCCCCCGTTTCCTTATTTCTTTTTAAAGTACAGTACATGCAGAGAGATTTCCTTCTACATAATTTAAAAAGTTTGGCCATCGGGGAAGTCAAACTTATTTCCCATTGAGTTTGTTTCTTTGCTGTAACATGGAACACGTGTTTGAAATTTTATCTTAATTTCACTGGTATGAAGTACAGATATTCCTCCACTTACAGCCATTTGTTTTGTGATTATACAAAGAGACAAAGGCACTGAATAACAGAATAACAGAGTTGGAAGGGACCTTGTAGGTTTTCTAGTCTAACCCCTGTTCAAGCAGGGGACCCTATACAATTTCAGACAAATGGCTGTCCAGTCTCTTTTTAAAAGCCTCCAATGATGGAACACCCATAACTTCTGAAGGCAAGTCATTCCACTGGATTGTTCTCACTGTCAGAAAATTTCTCCTTATTTCCAGACTGAATCTCTCTCCTTGTTCAGTTTCCATTCATTATTCCTTGCCTGGCCTTCAGGTGTCTTGAAAAATAGCTTGACCTCCTCCTCTCTGTGGCAGCCCTTCAAATATTGGAAGACTGCTACCATGTCTCCCCTGGTCCTTCTCTTCACCAGACTAGACATGCCCAGTTCCTGCAACCGTTCATTGTATGTTTTAGTCTCCAGTCCCCTTATCATCCTGGTTGGTCTTCTCTGTTTCCAACTGGAAACTCTGTTTCCAACTGTGCTCATAAGTCAGGGAATAGCTGTAGACATAGGCTATCCGGCTTAGACAGATCTGGATTCAAGGCCTGCTTAGCTTTATCCTCGTTTTAGCCATGTCATGCTTTCTTAGTATAAGTGGCTTTTAAAGTGAACTTGTGTTGAGGTAATTTCCCATTAGGAGAATGAGTGCACACAGGGAGACGTAGTGAGAGTAATGTTGAGGAATAACACACAACCAGCACACAGACACACTGTATAGTAAAATGTAGGTTTTTACTTCCAGTAAACGGTTAAGCAAAGTCCAACAAGCAGTCCAAGTCATACACGGTTATAGCAGTCAGTTTTCAGTCCAGGGATAATCCAAATAACAAAGTCCAGTATCATAAACAGTTCAGTAATCAGACTCACATTAATCCAAGAATAACAACGATCAGCTACAGTCAATAAGGAAATGCAGGAACAGCAACACTCTCAACAACAGGACTAAACAACCCAGGTTTCTGGCTCCATCTTATGGACGTTTGAGGAACCACATCCAATTACAATTTTAGCATTCCCTTAAAGAGACAGTATTAAAATGTCTATCCTGGTTTATATATTTCCAACCCAACTGTTAGATGACTTACATTCCTAATAACTTGTAGTGAAGCAAGAAAAAAAGTAAGTGTTACTTTGCATTTCTGAGTAGACCAAGCTAAAATAAAAGCCATATTTTTGATTATAGCCAGGCACAAGGAACATATACATGATAAACTCAGCTGTATAAACCACCATTAGCAAGTGGGCATGTAGCATCTTTGCAACATCATAACCAGGTGAGCTTCAATAGCACCATTGCAGATGCCATCTTGACTTTTTTTGACCATACCTTGTACGCACCTCTGGTCTTCTGCAACAATCTGGGAGAATCTGTATCTGAATTCTTGGCAATAATGATGGGGGGTGGGGAGGGGTTGTAGGAATGTATATCATTGGTCTAAAGCTTTGCCCACAAAAGATTTCAGGGGCAATGTTGGATTGGTTGGTTGATGCTGATGCTGACAATTTGAGTGGAGATAGTCTAAAGCAGGGGTGTCAAACTCGATTTCATTGAAGGTCACACCAGGGTTGTGTTTGACCTCCAGGGGCCAGGTGGGCATGGCCAGGGTGGGTGTGCCTAGCTTGATGTCACTCATGTTGGGGACAGCTATGGTGGCCCGTGTGCTCTGCCAGCAAAAATGGCTGCCTGAGCTCCGTTTTTGGCTGCGACGGCCTCCTGCAACCCTTTGCCCGCGAAAACAGAGCTTTCTTGAGCCCTGTTTTCACTGGCAGAGGCACTGCAGGCCAGTCCGTTGCTGTTTCCAGGGCAGTCCCGCAGGCCAGATCTAAGCACCCTGTGGGCCAGATCCAGCCTTGAGTTTGACACCCCTGGTCTAAAGCATGCTGGCTGGGGAATTCTGGGAGTTGAAGTCCATACCCCTTAAAGTGACTGAGGTTGAGAAACCTTGCTCTAGATCCAGGGTCTTCAAACTTGGCAAGTTTAAAACTTGTGGACTTCAACTCCCAGAATTCCTGAGGACTGGAGGAGGAAATCTAGGAGTTGAAGACCCCAAGTCTTACAACTGTCAAGTTTGAAGACCCGCCTGCTCTAAATAAACACATATCCTAATTCTTATTCATTATATTTTTATTCTGCCTTTCCTTTCCAAGCAATTAACCTAACACTCCTTATGTCCCCCAGAACAATTCCGTGGGGTGGATTCGGCTGAGAGAGAGGGACTGGCCCAATGTCACCCAGTCAGCTTTCATCTCTATGGCCAGGGGTGGGCTGCTACTGGTTCTGCCCGGTTCTAAAGAACCGGTAGCTCTGAAGAGTAGCAGACACTGAACCGGTTCTGTGTTTGCTGCTGTTTAGCCCACTCACCCGGCTGGGCTCTTATCTGTCCTTTATTTCCTGCTTTTTCAACCTCAGCTGCTTTGCGCGGCACAGCTGAGGTTGAAAAAGCAGGAAAAAAGAGGCTTTTCAAATGCTGCGCATCTGTGTACAGCGCTTTTCAACTGTCTAGGCGGCACAGGTTAAGGTTTTTTTACACGCGCACGCAGCAAAACATAGTCACCGAACCGGTAGTAACACCGGTTGAATCCCATCCCTGTCTATGGCGGAACTGGAACTCAAGAGTCTCCTGGTTTCTAGTCCAGCACCTTCCCCATTCCACCCAGCTGGTTCTCTTGACTCTTTAGTGACCACATGATCCCTTTCATGTCGTTTCCTTGGCAACAGCACAGAAGTGGTTTGTGCACTGTCACCTCTGGGACGGTGCCACCCTCCCATTTCCCAATCTCACTTGCAACCTCGTGTCTTTGTGATCTCCCATCCAAATAAGGACCAGACCTGACCCTGCTTAGCTTGAGCTCAGTCCAGACCAACCAAATACTGACACCAGGCTAAAAATGTGGCATACTGAAAACACCTCCAGCTGTCTGCGCCTCAGTATTAGTTATGCCTCTGTGAATAGATACATACATAAATTGATCTTTTTTGAAGGTGATCTTTTTTGAAAGGACCGCAGTTTAGATCAGGGGTCTTCCAACTTGACAAGTTTAAGACTTGTGGGCTTCCACTCCCAAAATTCCCCCCTCCAGTAATTCTGGGAGTGGAAGTCCACAAGTCTTAAACTTGCCAAGTTTGAAGGCCCTCAGTTTAGTTTCGATCAATCTGTTCCAGGCTCAGAAGGTGGCAGTCAGGTTACTTCAATTGAGAGGGACCACATGGGTTGCAGAGAGATAAATAGTCCCAGCCTCTTTTCTTTCACTGTCCTTGGCATCTCCGTTGAAAGAAGCTTCATGTCTTTTCTGGCAGGAAATCCATTAAAGGTTTAAATAAAAGCAGCTTTGGACGGAGTTGGTTCCCCTTACCCTTAGCTTTAACACAAACAGGTGCGTCTCCTGCCAAAGAGCGAGACGGGACACCTTATTATAACCTGCACGGTGTTCAATACTTTTCAGGGGCGCGTGGAGTCAAGTCAGGATGGCGTCCCCCCCCCCCGTGCGATCCACGCACAGCTAAATCCAGGTGTGTGATCCCCTCACGGCAGAGGCTGCCATCTCGACTCCCCCCCCTCCTCCAGCTGTCGACCTTTGCTTTTGCTCGCTCCTCCAACTTTCGCCTCCCGACAACGCCAAAAACCACAGTTGCGGCCCAGCGAGTCGAGGCCAACAATAGGCGTCCGAATTTCCCGGCGTCGAGTCTGCTGGGCTCAGCCAAGCGCGCGCCTTTTTAAATGCTACTTTAACCGGCTGGTGGGAACCGCAAAGCCTCGCTCGCTTCTCCGCTTCCCGCCTTCCGCCAGCAGGAGGCAGCCTTGCCTTTCCAAACCGGGCCGCTTTCTCCCGCTCCGAGCAACCGCTTCTCTTCCCCCCCCTCACACCCCCCCTCCCCCAGCTCCCCGTTTCGCTTTCCCTTCGCTGGAAGAAGCCCTGACGTCACTTCGCTGGCTCGCCTTCGTTCGTGCTTTTTTTTCTTCTTCTTTTTTTTCTCCCCCTTCTTCCCTCTCGCTCCCTCCTTCTCTGCCGAAGCTTTTCGGTTCCAGTCAGGCTTTCGCCGTTTTCGGCTGCGTGGGAATCCATGGTTTGTCCGGGGAACTTTCCGCCGCGTCTCTGAGGCAAGAAAAGGCAGCTCTCGCCCAGCCGCGGCCAGAAGAAGAGCGACGAAGAGACGAGGACGAAGCTTGCGGGGTGCAAAGGATAACTTTTGGGGGGACGGGAGGTGGGAGGGGGGGCTGGCTGGTCCTGATGCAAGATGCCGGGCACCCGCGCTTTGATTTTCCTGCTCACCTTCCAGCTCTGCTCCCTGGAGACCGAGACGCCGACAGGTCAGTCAGTTCCCGGAGCGACTCGCTCAGTTTGCCCGGCTCCCGGGTCGGTGGTTCCGTTTCGAGTGTGTGTATGGGGGGGGGGGGGTTGTCTCTCTTCTATCCCTTTCTCGGCAAACTCCCCCCTCCCCACCGGCCGCGCTCGGGGACTCCGGCTTGGCGGTTGCGTGTTTGTTTTGGTGTCCCGTCCCCGGGCTTCTTTTTCTCCCCCTTCCTCCCACAACTTGTTTATCCCGCGCCTCGCCTCGCCTCTTCTGCCCCGCGAACTTCGAAGGTTTACGCAGGAACCGAGCCAGAAGCCCTGGCTCCGGCCGAGGAAGAGGGAAACGGAGTTGGAGAAACTGGCCGTGTTTATGTGTTGGAAATGCCCCGGGTTGCTTTCCTTGAAGCGCTGGTGTGCGCCGGCTGGGGCGCGGGGGGGGGGGGGGGCAGCTTTGCTGTAGAAAAACAACAGTTGGGAAAGTCCTTTCTCTCTTTTTCTCGCTCTCTTCCTTTCTCTTTCTCTCCCTCTTTGTCTCTCCCTCCCCCTTTCTTTCCCTTTCTCTCTCCCTCCCTTCTTTCTCTCTCCCTCCTTCTTTCTCTTCCCCCTTTCTCTCTCTCTCCCTCCTTTCTCTCTCTCTCTTTCTCTTCCCCCTTTCTCTCTCTCCCTCTCCCTCCCTCTCCCTCCTTCCCCCTTTTTCTCCACCCTTTCTCTCTCCCTCCCTCCCTCCTTCCTCCCTCTCTCCCTCTTTCTCTTCCCCTTTCTCTCCCTCCCTCTCTCTCTCCCTCTCCCTCCTTCCCCCTTTCTCTCCCCCTTTCTCTCTCCCC